TTTTAGTAAGCATCACAAATTTTTTGTAAACAAAAAATCAAATTTTCAGTTAAGTATTTTTACTAAAGATTTGCCTGTGAAGATATTGTGTCAGAGGGTTTACTGCTCAAAGTACATGGTGGTTCTCATGTTCAGATAACAAATATTTTTGTTCATCTCACAGTTTTCAAATTTCATATGCATAACTTCTATAACCACCTAACCAAATATCTAAGTTTTTCATCTTTCAGTAAAACTTTATCCATTAATTAATCTACACTAACTCTGTACGGAAGATGTTATGGTCTTTTTAAAGGACAGAATTTTACATACCAACTTGTACAAAAAAACCTACAGACAGACAAGAATACCTTCACTATAAAAGCTGTCACCCCGCTCACACTAAATGGAACATTACCTACAGTCAAGCTCTTAGAATAAAGAAAATATGCTCAGATGCAACAGACTACAGAAATCATATCAAGGATCTAAAACAAACCATATTACAAAGGATATAAAGATACCGAAATAAACAGACAGATCAAAAAGGCTAACAACACTCAGCAAAAAAACATCCTAAATCAGAGCAATACTAAGTTTCAAATAGAATTCCTCTTATCATTACCTATCAGTTTAAACTCAGGAACAATTCACGAATTCTGGAAAACATTTTCATCTCCTACAACTGAACGATTGCCTTAAACAGATATTTCTTGAAGTTCCCATTGTCTCTTTCCGAAAAAGCAGAAGTCTAAAAGATATCCTTGTTCACACAAAAGTGAATTACATCCCATCAAAAAATGGTTGTCATCAATGCAATAAAGCTTGTAGTCAAACATATACAAGTTCATAAAAACTACTGACTCATTTTCTGACAACCACAACCAAAGAAACTTTAAAGTATTCAAAGAAATCACTCGTGTAACTAAAAACACCATTTACCTTGTACAGTGTAAAAAATGCAATCACCAGTATGTAGAACATACACAAACAACACTCAAAGAATGTTTCAACAACCATAAATCTTCTATTAACACCGAAAAAGATCTCCCTGTTGCTCAACACTTTAACCAAACCGGTCAGTCCATTAACATTGTTACTCTCAGTGGCATTGAAACAGGATTCAAAACTAAAGCTGATACAGACATGAAAGAAGCTTATTGGATAGCTAATCTAAACACTGTTTAACCTTGTGGAAAAAAATCTAGATCCTGGTATGGAAAATTATCATAAATAAATAGTAAGTTTTAAATGATCAGCTGATCATTTCTTGTTCAATCAGTCTCCAGGTGTCACTTTTATTTTACTTAAATACTTAAGTATACATATATATATATATATATTGCTATACCACTATCAGTCTTGGTTATCAACTTATTGTCATAACTTATCTATTTATAAGTAGCTAATTCTAAAGCAAAATATCCTTAACGCTTTTTTACATAACGCTCTCGTCACCGGCTATATTGTACCAGAAATGACACATTTGCAACAGTACATAGAAAAATATACTACACATTTCCTGGAAAATCAGATGACTTTCATGACATTACTCAACTCCCTTTATATATCACTCATTCATTTACACTATCATTCCCAGTTTGCCCCTGAAGAAGAAAGGTCCACCTTTCGAAAGCACTCGGGTTATAGGGTTTTTATCATTTTGTATCTATACGGCAGAGGTTTCCAAACTATGTGTCACAGTACATTGCTAGTGGTATTTCAAGCGTTTCACCAAACAAAGAATGATTAAAAACAGAAAAAACTAAAAAAAACTGCATGTGGCAGCAGAGGTGTCATGCAACTCAAGGTAAGTGGGTTAGGGAGTCATCAGTGGAAAAAAAAATCCTTTTTTCTTTCTAAAGTGACTGTAGATTGTAACAGGAAACTACATTGGTTTATCCTGAAAAGCTTAAAGCTCATAATGGTAAACATCTGTTTCTACTTATCTTTATTGTTTTATTGCCCTTTGAACCTGTCTAAATAATAACCCCATAATACAAGTTGTAAATCACTCAGTGAATCATAGGTCAAGTTACTTTATTGAATGATATAACATAAGAGCTACTCATGAGCATACCTTGCAACAACTGTTTTTGTGCATTTTGTTTTTGTTAATTTAAATACATAAAACATTTATTATCATAATTTTATGTATTTTCTTGTTTGCCACAGTCTTATATTCAACTTAAATGTAATATACATATTTGTTGAATGAATAATTAACTAATAAGAATAATTATAGTGATATAATGAATTTGTTCAAAACTGAATGCCAGCATGATGTATTTCTAAAAATGCAAGATTAAGGGGAATCTGAATCTCGCTATCTGTTAGTAATGTCACATCACAAAAATAGGAAGTAAACAATGAAAAAAAAACCTCTGAATAGGCTTTACTTTTTTAATATTTGACTTTCACAATCTTAACAATTAATTGATTAAACAAAATTCAAAATGTTTGACACCTGGCTAAAGTTTAAATGCTTAAACACTGAACTACTACACCCCTAAACACAACCTACAGACTAGTTCAATACATTTTCAGGATAACTAAATACTGATTAACAATGAACCACAGCACGAGACAGCACAAAATGATTCTACAAAAATAATAGCAAATAGGATAAGAAGGTTATGGTTCAAGTCTGGAAAAGACAGTCTTATTCCTTTTTACATAAAAGTCCAAGGGTGTGAATGTAAAAATTATCAGCAGAAATAGTCACAATCCACAGAAATTCAAAGGAGAAAGGTTCCAAAACATTGTTCATAAAGCAAAGCAGTAACCTACCAAACAGAAAAAAAGCAGACACTTATCCAGAGAAGAAAAAAAATAATAATAAGTCATCTAGCAAAAAAGAAAAGAGTACAAATATGCATCATTAGAACACATGTAATATCTACATCGGTATAATGTTTCTTCAGCTCATAAAAATGAAGATTATAATGATTACAAAATGGATACTATAAAAGAAAACTCTATTTTTCCAAATGAAAAATAAAGATTCAAGTTCAAGGCAAAATAATGCAGCATGATGGACGAAGTACAAAGTCTGTGATCTATATACAAATATTGAACAGGGAAAAAAAACTACAAACAATTTCCAGCATCAGCATAGAAAACAAGAGATGAGATAAACACTGTCAGTTCTACAGGAAGAGGCGAGTCCAATCCTGATTGAAATTATTCTTTCCTACAGCCAGTGGGATTGTGCCCATAAGTCATGGCCTCCACCCTAATATTTTCCATACACTGTTTTAATAATCCCAAATCCATGTAAAAATGTTTGATTGAACATGTTCAAAGTATTGGTTTGTATTGGAAACCATTAAGTTAATCAAAGTAAAAGCAGAAATTTAATAATATAAAAAGTAAAAGGCACAACATTTATTATTCTTTGTATGATTATTCTTATCAACTCTCTCACTATAGGCTCAGCCGAATCGGTGGAGTTCGTGACCCCAATATGACCTTTATAGTTTCCATACTATAACTTCTTATATGTTTTGTGTATCTTCACAAAATTTTGCAAGCTTTCAGTAACCATTAATAGTCTTTTGTAGACAAAAAAAAAATCAAAATTTGTATTGAAGTATTTTAACTGAAATTTTTTCCATGAATATATTGAATCAAAGTGTTGACTGCTTTGATTGTAAAGTGATTTTTGTGTTAAGATTAAAAATACTTTTCTTCATCTGAAAAACCTCAAATTGTATTTGCATAATCTCCCAAGTTAATTTCAAATTTTTTTTCCCAGTAAAACTTATATCTATTCATTTTCTATGTCCTAACTCTATAAATCTAAATTACTCTTTTTTTTCATTCTAGAATGACTTCAATTTGTAATCTGAAACTAAATTTATTTTAAATATCTTTAAATTGGTAACAGTATACAACTGTTTATACTTAAATTTTAATGTTTATTGCCCTTTGAACGATGTCTAGCCAATATACCTAAGTTGCGAATCACTTGGCAAACACGTAGCCCACACTACCCTATTTAATTACATAAAGCACGGGCCACTCACGAGGTTATCGCGAGCATACCTCCTGAAAATTTATTATATATTTTATCTAATCTAACCTTATTTAACCTAAAAAGTTTCTAATTTTTAGATTTTAATTACTTTTGTAATAATAAATAAAGAATACACATGAAAACAAAAAATAACATAGTTTCCTGAATCTTCTTTATTTTTGTTATTGACTGTTGAGGAAACTTAACCATATTTTTTTATTAAATTAAATAATGCACCAAAGAACACAGAATTATAATATGCAGAAAGCAGACAATGTCCCATACCTATCACATTTTTTCTGGTTTTCTAACTATGCGATAAGATCTGTTAAAAATTCAGCTAAGCATGTCAGTGTGTTTTTAATGGGAATGAAGTTTCACTTGGAAGCCAAATAGATAATTCTCTGTACAAAAATTAATGTAATATAATGCATAATTTGATAGATTAAACACTGGCTTTCTATTGGTTATGAATAATATAATATTAAATGTCCAAGAGAACTATTAGCAATCTGTGAAGAAGAAGATGAGACAGATGGTCGTGGCAAGAGGGTTTCACCTTCTCAAAAAAAAATTGGCTGTATGACATCACCGTCCACAGCATAAGATGAATAGAATAGTTGGTCATAAAGATGCGAGATCAATCCTGACAAAGAAAATCATCCCTACAGCATTATGGAAAAAGACGATAAAGAGCTATAAAGAGATAAGACTAATCCACAGTGAAAACACCTACTTCTTAAGCTTAAAGAAGGAAAAGGTTGGTAATAATCAAACAAAACCTGACAAGATCAACAATGAGTGAATGCAAACATGTGCCAACTTTATGAAAAAAAAAACAAATGTAAATATCCTTTATGTCAGATTTCAAACTAAAAGTAGTTATTTACATAACTATGTACTGTGGGTACACTTTAATTTAAATGATGCTTAACAGTACATTTAAAACTCATACTATTTTGACAACTAACATACTAAGGAAACCAATAACTTTTCTACTTACCAATTTGATAGCCACATGTTCATTGTTATACAAGTTCTTACCTAAAACGAAAAACAATAAGGAACAAATGAAATTTTGTGGCCTATCTAAATCATGCTCGGATACATTGTAATTGCAAAATATTCTAAGGGAAAAAGCACTTATATGTGTATTCATGTTTATGTATTTATAGAATTACAAAAGGAAACTTGCACACTTAATAGAAATTGTGATTAAGCTTGTTAGGCTATATTAATAGTGAACAAATTTTCACATGGAATATGCTCCATATGCTTTCCTACTTAACTATGGTTCCATGATATCGGTAGCTTTTGCCATAATCTCATACTTTCAAGTGTATGTTTAAAGTATATGATGTAATGAAGATTTATCAAAGAATCTGACATGTATGTGGTTGTGTGGTATATAAATATTTCACATGTTTCTATCTTCTTATATTATAATAGTATTTATCTTGAATTCATCGTTTATTCTGTATATATATGCAAGTTTCACATAACAAGTGGTTGAGAGAATTGTTAATTTCATCTTGTTCTTGGTGCCGTTGTTACACTCAACAAAATAACATACCTGTTCTGTCCAAAGAAAATATTGCTGTAACACTGCACATTGTGCAAAAATGTTGACAGCAGTAACCTTCAATGATAGTTCAGATAGTATCTTGAAGTTATGGCCTCTCCTATGTTTGAGTGAGAATGACTGGTCACGTAGATAGCACAAATTGCTCTGAGCAACTAATTCAAAGTCACATGCAAAGTGAGGAATGTTGAATTTAAACAGTCTGATAGATAAATTCAGCCTAATAAGTTGAAGATATAACATCCAGAACAAGCAACAGTTCCATATTTAACAACACCATGTACACACACTTTGTTTTGTGATTTAATAAAGATATTTCATTTTGTTCCTTACCTTGTGTCCAGTTTCTTTCTTTCTCAGACTCAGTTATTCAGTATTATTCTATAATAAATATCCTGTTCATAACTCTTGTTATTTCACAGAGTTATCCCACTGTTCTTATGTTAACTTAGTTCGACCTCAGTATGCCACAAATGAACAAAATTACTGTGATTCGAACTTCTTCAAACTCTTTATTTATGATTATTATTATAAAATCAACTGTAGGTTTAGAGCACATGTGGTAGTTGGTGAATTTTCATCAACTTCAAATCCTTGTTTATTATCTTGTTAGCAGTAGCAGAGATATCCCCAGCTTTAGTACAATGGCTTTTTTCGATTAGAGGATTCCCTTTCATAACCATCCCCTTTAATTTGAAGATAAAAGTATGCTTTTGGAAACTGTTACTACCCTAAACATTCCACAATAAACGATGAAGTGTTATATCTTTGAAATGGTTTATCCTGTCAGGTTCTTATAGGGCCAGATTCTTTACAGTAGATGTTTGTGACTTGTTGGCAATAAATGGACAACACACAATCCACTTGTTTTAGAATAATATATATATATATATTCAAAACAAGTCAAACATATGTACAAAAATGTGTTACACTATTGTTTACCACAGTTAGATCCAGATCTATAAAAAATCCTCTTTATCATCAAAAGTTCACACAGATTGGTTCAATTGCTTTAGAACCCAATTGACAAGACAAATTATTTCTTCTATCCTCTATTATCACAATACAATAAGTGATAAACTCATGTTAGTCCATGGGTTACCACAGTTGTATCCAGAGCTTTAAATAATTCTCTTTTATGTCAAAAGTCCACATGGGCTGGTTTAGTTACTTTAGAACCCAATTCACAAGACATATTCTTCTTCTCTATTCTGTTCATTACAATATAATCTGCAATTATGACACTTTTAAAACTTTCACTAACATGGTCACCTATATATATGCACGTTGGTCAACTGAGGCCTACAACTTTTTACAAACTATGAGATGCTATGATGTAATTATACTCACTTAAACCAATGAGAAAAGTTTGAGTAACATGACATCAATTCACAACAACTGAACTACACAACAAATGATTTGTAAACAGTTATATAAGCAAACTTGCCATAACTATTGCTTTTAAAAACAAATTACTTTAACGTTTGCACAATATAAACTAAATAATACTCTTGTATTAAACTTAAAATGAACAGTTGTGTATATATAACAATAAGCCCCTCTTCAAGAAAATTATTTACAATATTTTTTTACACTATATACAAATATTGTTTTCAGTCCATACACAGAGTCTACTCATACAGTCTGTACCAACATTTGCAGTCTCCTTGATGGCTTCAATGCAGAACCTGTAGTTCTGGCTTTTAACTTACTTACATTAACAGAAACAGTTCTTCTTCATGTTCTTGTAGGAGTACTGCTCCAATTCCAATGTCTGAAGCATTGGCCTGAACGATAAACAGTTTGTTGAAGCCTGGCATTCTAAGGATTGGTGAACTTCCCAAGATGTTCTTTAATTCTGAAATGTCATCTGCTGTGGTTGTTGCCACTTCACCTTGTTGGGTAGGCCTTTCTTTGTCAGATCAGTCAATGGTGCAACAACTTCAGTGTAGTTTGGGATGAACTTCCATAGTATCCTGCTAACCCCAGGAAGGTTACTGACCTGCTGCTTGGTCGTCGGAGTTCGTGCATCTTCTACGTGGGTTAGCTTCTCCTCTTTGATGGCTATCTGTCAGTCGCCCACCTTGTGTCTAACAAACTCCAGTAGAGGATAGGCGATGTAGCACTTATATGGTCTGATAGTCAGACCTGCTGTTCTCACTCTTCTGAAAAACTCACTAAGTTTCTTCAGGTGGTCTTCTCATCTGGCTGTGTGTGTGTCAGAATGTCATCCATATAATACTTAACATTGGTGGTGTTGTGCAACATCTCCCTCATCATGCAGTTGAATGTTGCTGCTGAGTTTACTCACCCAAATGGCATCCTCTTAAACCAGTAACATCAGTCTGGTGTCACAAAGGCTTTCTTCTCTTTAGATCCCATCTTCATCACAATCTGCCAGTAACCTTTACTGAGGTCAATTTTTGAAAAGAACTTGGCTCCATCTAGTTTTGCCATGATAGCCTCTGGATTTCCCATACGTTCAGAGTCAAATATCGTCATGAGGTTCAGCTTCCAGAAGTCTATGCAGACGCAGTTTGAGCCATCCCTGTTCTTCACGATTACCACTAGTGAACAGTAGGCTGAATGATTCCAGCTTCTAACATTGCCCCAACTTCCTGCTTGATCAGGTCTCTCATCTCATAGGGCATCTTGTAGGGCTTCAACTTGACTGGATCCCTGGTCGTGGTGTCGATCTTGTGTTGCACAAGGTCTGTATTGCCTGATCTATTTGTGAAGACATCTGCACAGTGGATGCTGTAACTATTTTTTCTGCTCATCAGTCAGTTCTTCACCGATGTTGACGTCTTTGTATGTCTCATCTCCACCTAGTAGTCTTAGCTCTAGTAGGTCTTCATCTTCTATGACAAACTCACTGTCTTCTGGTTCTGTGTCTATGAAAACTAGACCTGCCATGTCCATCTGTGCCTCAACAACTGCAACTGTTAGGTATCCTTCCCTCTCAAAGTACCTCTTCAACAGATTGACATGGTAGATCTTGGTCTTCATATCCACTTTCACCTTATAGTCCATTCTGTTGAGCACTTCGTGCACTTCAAAAAGTCCTTTCCACTGCAGGGTGAGTTTGCTGTTGTCTGTTGTCCTCACTTCTGACTCTTCTCCTGTCCACAGCTCTTTCAATATTGACATCGAACCCTGTACTCGAAGGGTGAAAACCTGTACTTGCTTGTGGAACTTCTCGATAAGTAAATAATACTGCCTGCAGGTACCTGTCCTAGTCACGTGATCTCTCCTGGCACATCTTCAGCATACTCTTTATGACTCTATTGCCTTTCTCACAAAGTCCATTACATCTGGGGTTGTACAGGGTGGTAAAGAGTTGCCTAGTGCTAATGAGTCTGCACATCTCTTGCATCAGTTATGAAGTAAACTGGGTCCCTCTATCACTCTGGACTTCTTTCAGAAAGCCTACTCTGCAGAACACTACCAGGAGGGCTTCTGCTACTTTCACCATCTCTATCTTCAGCAGTGCTATGGCTTCTGGATAACACTCACACAGTTAAATATTGTCAGCACATACCAGCTGCCCTTGTCAGAAACAGGTGCTGGTGGCCTGATCAAGTCCGCAGCTACTCTGCTGAACAGCTCTTCTATGTGAGGCATTTCACCCAGTGGCACTTTGTATACCTTGCCTCTAGATATTGTCCTTTGGCAGATGTCACATGACCTGCAGAATCTGGTCACATCTCTGATGACTCCCAGCCAATGGAAGTTGCTGGTAATTCTGTCTGCTGTTTTCTTGTCTGTCATCCGATCATCAAATACTAGAATGGCTCTCACTGCTGCACTACTGCACCCAGTGTCTCATAGGACCTTCACTTTCTTGTCCCTGACATAGCCTTCACCTACTGGCATTTTGTGATTTGTTAGCACCTCTTGATGTTTGTCACATGCTCCAATCACTACTGGCACTGTTGATCCATTTGCTAACTAGAGCTGCCCATCAGTCATGCATTGTTTACTGATGGAAACAGCACTACCTTTTTGTGGCAAATCTGATGGGTTGTCTCTATTCTGTTTCTTTTGGCAGTAGGGTCCATGGTAATAGTCATTCTTCTCTTGTTTCTTGCCAATACCATCTTTGTAGGTAGCTCCAACTGCTTTATGTTGAAATTTCTGTTGTTGCTGACAGACTTACACTCAATCGGAATGTGTCCAATTTCATAATAAATGTAGCATCTATCCTCCCTTTTGTCCATTGAGTTCTTGTCACCTTTGGTGGTATCCTGCTTCTGGTCAGCCATCCCTGGTTTCAACTTTAACTGGTTATACTTTGAATTGCCAGTTACACTCCCCATGGGCTTCAATATACTCTTCGGCCAGCTTGATCTTCACGTCCTCATATTTTTGTGATTCTCTTTTATGAAAAGTAACATGTCAGTTGAGCATGTGATCATCAACTGTTCACATATTAATAGATCTGCCAATCCCTCAAAACTAT